ACAGGACCTAAGAAGATTAGTTGAGGGCAGGGGGGCCTTGTAGTGGTTTGAGCATTGGCCTATGACTCTGGAGACCAGGGTCTGAATTCCAACTCAGCCATGAAAACCCACTGGATGCCCTTAAGCAAGCCACACTGTCCCTGCCTCAGAGGATGGCAATGGTAAACCCGCTCTGAAGAAACCTACCAACAAAACTCCATGATAGGTTCGCCCTTAGAGTCACCATACATTGGAAATGACTTGAAGGTCCCCAACAACAACAACAACATCAACAACAACAATGGAGGATAGGGGCTCTAGGAGATGTCTCATCCAAAGGGTCACCATGAGTCGGAGTCCATTCGAGGACACTTAACAACCATAGGCTGACCAGATGATCATAACCTCAAAAGAGGACCGGGCACCGCAAAATGTCAAGACATTCAAGAAAAATACAGGGGCATTTTTTAAAAAAAAAAGTGGAAAAAAATATAAAGTTTCTCAGTCTTGTCCAAATGGAGAACATTTTGAAGTTCTTCCTAGACAGAAGGCTGAAATGGAGGACCTGTCCTGGAAAAGGAAGACACAACAACAACAACAACAACAACAACAACAACACCTGGCAAGATCCATCCTCCTTTTAGGAACCTCTCCACCTTGACCTCTGGAGCTTTGTGGATGGGAAAGCCAAGCATGTTCTCTTACCTGTCTTAGCAAGAAAAGGCAAAAGGAGCCCTGGGAGAGGAGGAAAGGCGTTTCAGATTCTCGCAGCAGAGGAAATGAAAAAATCCCTAGCAGTACTTTTAATCCCCCCCTTAGTTTGGGAAAGGCAGCCAATGGAGAAGAGCATTCCCCCCCTTCCCAAGCATCCCCTCCCACCCCAAAGGCTTTGGCCATACAAGGCGAAAGAATGCGGGAGGCAGCAGCCCAGCTGTGCGATGCTGGATCTGGGATGCAGGCTCAGCACTGGAGGCGGGGAAGCCAGCCTTCTGCCTTATATAGATGCAATGGGCTCCAGGGAAGGAAGGGCTGGAAGGCCATCACTGGGGAAAGCCCTGGAAAGGATGGAGCAGGCAGCTTCCTTTATAAGGGTACAGGCCAGGCAAAGGGCAGGAGTAGGCACCATGGCATGGCACCAAATGGGAAGAGAAATCAGCATCTGGGGATGGGGGGGAGGGAAGACAGAGAAGGCACTGGCATGGTTGGCATGTCTTCTTTTTTCCTTTTTGGCTTCGAGGAGCTGAAACTTCCCTGCTCTTCCCTTGGACATAATAAAAACACCTGTTGTCTTTAGGTTTTGCACCTATTGTTGTTTGTAGAGAGATCTTGTGGCACCTTTGAGACTAACTGAAATAAATAAATTGGCAGCATGAGCTTTCCTAGACTTTAGTCTACTTCGTCAGATGCATTTGAGGAAGTAGGCTGAAGTCTAGGAAAGCTCATGCCGCCAATTTATTTATTTCAGTTAAACTCAAAGGTGCTACAAGATCTCTCTACGTACTGAGTCTAGAGACTAACATGGCTATATCTTTGAATTCTACCACATTTCAAATGAGTTAATTTTCCTCTTTCATCATCCAGCTTTCATACTCATACATAGAAATTGGAAATAGTATGGCTTGGGTGATTTGTGCATGAGGACCTTATCTTGATCTTTCATGCATTCTCATTCTAATTGTGAGGATTTTAGTTAAACTACTATGTGTGGCATAGTGGCTTGAGTGTTGGACTACAACTCTGGAGACAGGGTTCAATTCCCACCCAGCCATGAAACCCACTGGGTGACCTTGGGCAAGTCACATGCTCTCAGCCTCAGGGAAGGCAATGGCAAACCTCCACATTCCACTCCACCAAATGCATCTGAGGAAGTAGACTGAAGTCTATGAAAGCTCATGCTACCAACTTCTTCCTCTCAGTTAGTCTCAAAGGTGCTACAAGATCTCTCTACATACTGATTCTACAGACTAACACTGCTATATCTTTGAATTCTACGCATTGTTGTTGTTTATATGTGCCTCCAAGTCCTTTGGGACTTATGGCCACCCATAAGGGATGCAGTGGCTCAGGTGGTTAAGACACTGACTCTGTTGATTGCAAGATCGGCAGTTCGAAGCCCAGGTGCTGCATGACAGGGTGAGCTCCTGTCACTAGTCCCAGCTTCTGCCAGCCTAGCAGTTTGAAAGCATGCAAATGCAAGTAGATAAATAGGTACCACTTTGGTGGGAAAGTAAACAGTGTTCTGTTTACTTTGATTGGGAGTTCCTGCATGGCAGGGGGGTTGGACTGGATGGCCCTTGTGGTCTCTTCCAACTCTATGATTCTATGATTCTGTGCAATCATGCTGGCCCCATGATCACAGAGTAGTCTCTGACAACGCTGGCTCTTAAGCTTAGTAACGGAGATGAGCACCACCCCGTATGGTCGGACACAACTTGACAACCGTCTCAATGGGGAATACCTTTACCTTTAAAGTGAGCCTATCACAGAGTTTTTTTCTTGACAGGTTTCTTTAGAGGGGGTTTGCCCTGGCCATTTCTTACTGATTTCCCCATTATAATCAATTTTGGACATCTGAAACATGGGTTCTTTCCACATCTGAGACAGAACACAGATTGCCCAAAGCAGATTGAGGCAAACGGATCTTTGAGCCAAAGCAATGTTCATTTATCCTAAATTTGTAGGTTATGTTGTGACCCTATCACAGCTTTTTTGGGAGGCAAGTTTCTTCAGAGGGGTTTTGCCCTTGCCTTCCTCTGAGGCTGAGAGAGTGTGACTCTCACCTGAGGTCCCCTGGTGGGTTTGCATGGCTGAATCAAGATTCAAACCCTGGTTTCCAGAGTCATAGTCAAACACTTGAACCACTACACCACATTGGCTCTAATAAAAGCTATAGGCATGCCCAAGTTTTTGTTTTTTAAACAGGGGTGCCTTTCTCTTTACCCCTGCCCTCAGCCTCCTCCTGGCGGAAAGTGATGCTGCAGGAGCAGTGGATTGCATTGCCTGTGAATATCTGGGTGCATCTACACTGTAGAAAGAATGCAGTTTGACACCACTTTAAATGCTGCAACTCAGCTCATTTACTGAGAGCTAATATAAAGTGGCAGAGTGATTCAGCAAAGGATCAAGAATGCCCTGTTTCAAATCTCGATATATTGAGCAAAGGCAAGCCATTTTCTTTCAACCTACCAGCGGCAGTATATGGAGAATAAGACAGGGATACCACATTATACGAGAGCCAGCATAGCTTAGTAATTTGAGTGTTGGACTGGAATAGTGGTGTCACTAGGGTTGGTGTCATCTAGTGCGGTAACTCCTGGTGTAACTCCCCCACCATTGGCCTCTTCCCATTTCACACCATACAAAATCCTTAGTAATGCTTTTTTGCACTAATGTTACTCGTAAATCATAATTCCCATATACCACTGAATGTAATGTTAATAGTTGTGATATAAACAACTAGCAACATTAAAATTATACCTTCAAATTACAATACCATATACACAGCCTAAATGTATTTACATACACGTAGTTAAGATTTGGTTAAAATGTGACGTTTTCAAAGAAAATTTTAAAAGAATGTTTGTTTTTAAATCTATTTTTTTTAAAAAAAAATTAAATCACAATTTTGAAATTTTAAATTTTAATTTTAAAAATTCTGGGGCCTCTCCTTTCTCCTCCCACTGAGCTTCAGCCCACTCCTACCATCTCTTAAAGGATTTTAAAGGTAAGCAGGTGAATGCCACAGACCGTTTCTGCCCAAAGGTAGGTGTTTGAGGAGAAGTGGTGTCACACACACCCAGGGTGTTACCTGGTGTGGTTCGCATCCCCTGCACCTTCCTAGTGATGCCTCTTGACTGGAATACTACATTATATGAGAACCAGTGTGGCATAGTGGTTTGAGTGTTGGACGATGATTCTGGAGACCAGAGTTCAATTCCCGCCTCAGCCATTAAACCTACTGGGTCCCAGTGGGATTCATGGTTGAGTGGGAATCAAATCCTGGTCTCCAGAGACCCAAACTACCACATGGGTGGGGTGGGGAGAGAAGGGGGCATAATATTGTTCTTCCCAATGGGGTTTGCCTAAGCAAACTGTAGCAAGCCTCTCCTGCCTTGTGTTTTCTTCCTTTTGTCATATAGGCCACAGTCTGATGTTCCTTGATCACATGTGTCAATTTATACCCGTAAAATGTTGGAGGATATGCTTGTTTGCTTTCTGCAGTGTTTGCCTGGATTGCCTCATCCATTCACAATTTATTAGAGCTTGGACAGTAGGTGGGTTCATTTGCAGTAGGTGGGATCATTTTTCAGTGAGTGCATTCCTTCCTGGATAACAGAGGTGGGGTTGAGGATGCATACCAATGGTGGGTGGAATCACAAACAGCTTATCTTTAAGCTTCCAGTCTGGACTTTGATGCCTTGGATCTGGGGAAATGGTGTATTTAATCAGAAACTCAGACACAAAACGAATCATGTCAAGTTACAGAATTTATACTGTTCGGCATGAGCTCTTTGTTTAAAACTTTTACTTGTTCATCCAAGCACAGGGCCAAATGGACTCATCTCGAGCAATTGCTCCAGATCCCTCATAGTGCTGAAGTGAAAAGATGTAGTTTGCTTCCTCTTCATCCCCAGTCGCTTCACAACATTCCCAATATAACTGATATCATCAAGAGTTTTCTTGTTATTTCAGTAATGGCGCAAAGATGCATGGGAGTCAGGCTGCTAGTCTGATGGACACTGTAAGACTAAAAATGAGTTCACACGTGAAGATTTTTGTGCTGCTATTATACTTAGTATTAATTAATAAATTAATATCTGTGCTGTGCATTTGTGCATAATAGATCCGATGTTTCCAGGAACAGGTACAGTTGGAGCACTAGCTTTAACTGTGCAAAAGCACTCTTGGTCACTACTAAGACCTGGACCTCCAGGCTCAGTACTGAATCCAAAGGGACTCTGAAAACACAGATTTGCAGTTTAGGAGTACTGCTGGATTCAGCACTAAGTCTGGAGACAGGAGGCACTGTGGTATAGTGGTTTGAGGGTTGGACTAGGACTCTGGAGACCAGGGTTCAAATCCTGGCTTGGCCATGTAAACCCACTGGAGGACCTTGGGCAAGTCACACTTTCCCAGCCTCAAAGGATGGCAATGGCAAAACCCCTCTGAAGAAACATGCCATGAAAAACCCTTGATAGAGTCACATTAGGGTCTTTATAAGTTGGAAATGACTTGAAGGCACACAACACCAATAAAGAGGGAGGATTCATAAAATATATAAAATTCATGTTGAGTGCATTATTTGTAATCCAGTTTGAGACTGCTTTAACTGACCTGGTTCAATGCTAAGGAATTCTGGGAAGTGTAGTTCTGTGAGACATTTAGCCTTCCCTGTCAGGGAGCTCTACAATTCACGGGATTCCCTAGCACTGAGCCAGGGCAGTTAAATTGGTCTCAACCTGGATTATTTCTCCAATGTGTTTTGGACCTATAGGTACGTACTCAGAGTAAGTTCAACTGAACTCAGTGGGGCTTATTTTTGAGCAGACATGTATAGGACTGTGCTGTTCAGATATAGTCCTATACAATTTTTTCTGGGAGAAAGCTCCATATTGTCTATTTGTCTCTTGGATTACTTGGCTTACCTTTGGATTGAAGAAAGTGGTACCTCCCATCTAAATGAGGCAGCTGTTCTAACTCTGAAACAAAGCGCTGTGCCATCACACAAATACATTTAAACTGCAATCCTACACCTATTACCTAGAAGTAAGCCCCGCTGAACCCAGGGGTGCATACTTCAGAGTAGATATATATGAACCAATTCTGCTGCTGGGTTTTTGTCCTTTGCTTACCTATATGCATCCCTCTTTGAACTCACAGGGGGATGTTATTTATGCATAGACCTGAATCGCATTGCACTGTCACGCTATACTCTTAAACACACTAAGGACGTTATCACACGTGGGCCAGAAAGCAATAATAAAGTGGAAATGAGGCATTCTGAAAATAAACGGAAAATAAACCTTGATTCTGCAAATGGCTTTCACACGTAATTACCTTAATTGCGAATTTACAGTAAGTGCATTTAACATTCACACACAAGTGAGAAAAGCCCACATTTGCATTAATTTCGCATTTGCATTTCCTCCAAACAACTGAATTTCAAAAGATCTCGGTTAACACAAGTTTCTGTCCACTTTCTGTCCAGTTTCTGTGTGACGTCGTGTGAAAAGGCGGGGCACAAATCTAGTTTCTGTTTGGGATTTGTGTGGATTAACCAGCAGATTTGCCCCCGTGTGATAACATCCAATGTATACTAGTCTTCACTCACACAGGGCCCTGCAGACAGACCAGCCTACAAAATCTATAATCTCCATCCACCTTGGTACTTGGCCAGCTGGACAAAAATGTTGGAACAGAATCATCCACCACATCTGGCGGGCACCAGATTGGGCAAGGCTATACAAGAGGGTAAATTTCATTAAAACTACTGGAATTTGTTTCTGAATAAACATGCTTAGGGCTTCACCAGTAGTAAATTCCATTATTAAGTACAGAATTCACTAGTATCAATTTTTAAATACAATGAGAAAACACCTCTTTCTGGTAGGGATGTTTTGGATGACTCCTATAACCATTAAGGGTAATTCCTCTCCTTTTTCTTTGGAAATTTTTATTGCTTTTTTTCCTCTTCAAAGTATTTCAGGGTTTTTATTTACCATGCGGAGAACCCATTCCATGGCCCAGACTTTTTTTTATTTTTGCATTTTGTTTCACTAAGCCCACAGGAAGTTTTTGGCTTTGACCCTTTGCATCACTTTTATGTTTCACCACAGAGGAGGGATGAAACACAGCACAGTTTTTAGAAATGATATTTCCACTGTGAGAGCAGTGGGTCAGGTAAATATTGTAAATTCCCCAGTTCTGTTTTATCACTAATGCCTGCATTTGCAATCCTGAGAGAGGCTCCCAGACAGAGTAAGGCAAGATAAATACTGTATATACTTGCCTATAAGTTGATCTCATGCATGTCGAGGGCAGGTTTTGATGCCAAAATTATGGATGTTCATATGACCCATGGATAGGTCGAGGGTAAAACATGGGAGCAAGTAACCAAGGATGTAGTGAACAAAGCAAAGGAAGTGATGCCAAAGGACTTTAAAAATTTCAGCAGGCATAACTTTTTGTGCTCACCCTAAAGGCTGGGTGGATAAGGAGAGAACTACAGCAATTCATGGTTGAGGTGACCAGATCCAGGTGAAGCTAAGAAATGCACACATGTCAAGAAGGATTAAAAGGCAAAGCAAAGAAAATGGCAACTACATTAGCAGTGATTACAGCCTTTAACTTTAAGTTTGCCTGATTTTAACTGAGAAAAGCTGACAAACATATACAAAGGTCTTCTTCAGATCCTTCAAAGCCCTGTTCCTCTTGGCATTCCTTTGAGAGAAAGCACCAAAGAGCTGCCACCACTGCCATTTTCCCATCCAGACATTCAAAAAGGTCAGAAGCAGGGCCATGGCAGAGAGAGTAGAGAGGGTCAGTGCTTCTTTAAGATGTTCCCAGGACAGACTAAGCTCTCACTTTTTGCCACTCTACCCAGAGAAGGAGATGGTTCTTTGATAAGATTTAAAGTACAGTACTTACACTGACTTGTGGATAAGTCAACCCAGATTTTTTGGGTCAATTTTTTGACTAAAATTTCTAGACTTATACATGAGTATATACAGTAATAAGACTATTGTAGATGCAACAGACAATGATACCTTTCTGCCATCTTGTGGCAAGGGAATATAATGAAAGAGATCTGTTCAAAAAAAGCTCTATTAACTCTTATCAAAAGGAGATCCACTTATATTCAGAGGAGGGAATCATTTGGCTCTTCAGATGTCATTGGCTGGCAACTCCCAGAAGTCCTAGTCAGTATAATTAGTTTTGAAGGCTACTGGGAGCTGCAGTCCAACACCATCTAGACTGCAACCCACACATTATTCCCAACCTAGAGTGTTAAACTACAACTCTGGAGGTCAAGATTTGAATCCCTGCTCAGCCATGGAAAACCACTGGGTGACCTTGAGCAAGTCACATGCTCTCAGCCTCAAAGAAAGGCAAAGGCAACCCCCCCTCCCTTTGAAGAAATTTTGCCAAGAAAACCCCATGATAGGCATTAGGATCACCATAAGTCGTAAATGACTTGAAGGCGTATAACAACAACAAACAACAAAGCTTAGTAATTGCAAACAAGGCCAAGAGATTTTGCTACCTAAAACAAGATGATCCCTATCTATTCCATGTACAGAAGTTGACTGCATACCCTCCAACATTTCAGAGGTAAAAACTGGGACAAGGTATGGTCAAGCAACATCAGAATATGATCAAGATGGCAAAGGCAGCATCAGTTTGCCTTTTGCCTGAGCCTATTTGGAAGAGCAAGATTCCATCTCCTCCTCTCATCTTTCCTGCACTAATTTAGTTGATTGCAAGCTACTTCTGCACTCAGTTGGCAGCAAATGAAGTAAGCTGAGGACAAGGGGGGAGGTAGGAAAATCTGGGACATTTTAAATGCATCTGAAAAAGTGGAATGACAGAGGATTAATTGGGGCTGCCCCTACCAGATTGGGACAGTTGGAGGGTATATGATTGGACTTGTTGAAGTTTACTTCAGCAGTGCCAATAAGATGAGGAAACATATCCGGCCAGGGTAGTTGTGTTGGTCATATAGCAAAGTACAATAACTTTGTTATTGTAATAGCAAAAGGGTACAGAACAGTTTGCATGGCACACGTAGCTTTGCTCTCCAAGAGAGGAGAGTGGTCGCAGGGCTCAGGAAGGACAACTGGGGAGCTAAAAGAACAAAAGCAGCTTATTTATATACCGCTTCATATCGCGCTATGGGATGTCTAAGCGGTTTACAACTGTGAGCTGATTGCCCCCCAACAAGCTGGGTACTCATTTTAGCGACCTCGAAAGGATGCAGGCCTGAGTCAAGCCTCAGCCCTGGCTGGTATTGAACTCGCAACCTTGTGGTCTATGAGTGAATGGCTGCAGTACAGGCATTTAACAGACTTGTGGTGCCATGAAAACTGATGTGTTCCTGTTTCACATAGGTTTCCATGGATCTCAGCACATTTTATTAGATGCAGGATATAGCTTCCCAGCATTTGCTACCTGAGGTATTACCTCTTTCTACATAATGGTAGAGCTGACCCTGATTTCAAATATAAATGTAAAATACATATATATATAGAATTCATCTTCCAACCTTCATTGAGGCCCAGTTTCATGGAGAGGGAAGATTGCATTGGCTATTTTCAGCTTTTAATGCATACAATGTACATATCTTTATCCAAACATACCAGTACTTACTGTAACTATAGGCATACCTCAGTTTACAAAGCTTCTGACAAAGAAGTTCCTTTTTAGAAAGTCAAAGTCGTTTTATGCCCAGCCTTTTGGCCACTAAAATGGAAATCATAAGAAAGGTGGAGTCTTGGAAAAGAAGATGCCCTGTATAGATAGCTTTCATGTGATCCGTAGAAGGTTCAAACTGTTTTTGTTTACTTATACAAGCCTTACATTACCTGGTTGTTTCATTTCACATGGGCATGCTAATTTTGGGGGGAAAGTTTGCTGGAAAATGTGGAATGACTCTTCTTGCGATATAAAACCTATCCCTATTTTTCCATGTTATTTATGCTTTTGGTACCAAATTTTCTGTTTAAGAAGTAATGCCCAGAAACACATCTCATTCATTAATGAAGATATACCTATACTGGACCATAAATGCACCCAAACTGTAGCAATAGTCTGAAGGTCATTTCACATCACTAACAGACCTAGGCTGAGTGTATATTCATTCAGCAGGAAATAATGCAGGTGTTTCAAAATGTACCGTATTTTTGTCAGATTAACCTTTTATGGTTTTGGATCTATCTTTAACAAATGTAATATGTAAAGATTTAGAAGAAATTGGCCTTTGTTACTTTGAAGGACAACTTACTGGACAGAATACAAAGCCATTTTTCTTTGAAGGACAAAATACTGGGGATTTGCAGCACTGCAAATGCAATACTGAAGATATGCATGTTTTAGT